TTATCTGAATTTTGAAGAATTTACAATAAAATTCCAACTGAATGCAAGGACGAAATTTCTTATATATATTATAGTGAGTACTTGTGTATATGGTTGTCTCAATGCCTTAATGTCAGTGCAATCATAATCAAATCATAATGATTTGAGCTCAGCTAGCAGTCCAACAGGTAAATATTAGGCAGTAAATCATGACTGCTCTTGGAATATAAGTTAGAATTTACTAGTTTCTATATCCCAAGGTGCTACATATTTTCTCCCAGTTTTTATATTACATTGCATGCTATTTGCACTTAAGCATGTTATAGGGATATTGAAGCAAGAAGCTCACGGTTCACCAATTCCTGCTTGTTGGTCCAAAAAACTTTAGCTATTGCTCAGGCACTTAGCCTACTAATTTGATAAGCATGTGCTTACCAAGCGCCAAGGCCAGCACCAGCACACTGATGTTGAATTTAAGGATAAAATATAGGGTTCCCTAACCTGCAGCCTGCGCACAAGATTTGGTTTGGAAACTCTTTCCTTTACACCATGCCAAACTTTCTCTCAAGTTGCCCTGTATTTTAGGCAACTTGGAGCAAACAACTCATAGTTGAATTCTGATCCGTGACAAATGCTAGCTGTATGCATGACTTTTTGTCATCTTTGTGAATTAAAATACTCTCCATATTTAAATTGTGCATTGAGTTTTGATATTTGTATTGCTCAAACTTTGGTAGCATAACATATTTAATGATCATGAGTTAATTATATATTTGGTACTCTTATTATAGTGAAATTACTGATTTAATACTTTAAATTTAAAAATTCGTAATTAGGTATTCGAACCATCAGCCAATTGGGTGAAAGAAGGAAAAAGAAACAAAGATTTCTCACAACTTGAGTTAGCCCTTTTCACTATGTTACTGACTAGACATTGGTTATCTAGACTCAAACATGTCGATCTTATGCCCCTTTCTAAGTTCTAATTGAAGCAGATGGCATCTTTCTTTTCATAGGATAGTAGCTGCAAAACTTCAACTCATATCAGGCCACCAAATGATTTTATATACACATTGTACTTGTTATGAAAGCTATGGAAGTAGATCAGAACCAACATAACCCTAAAGTCAATGTCAAATCTTTACAAAATTTAAAATCCAAGGTTGGTTCCATGGTTCCCTCATCCAACCCATGGATTAGAAAATTGAAACAAGTTGGCATATAACTGCATATATAGATACCTTAACTCTCTCTCTCTCTCACAGTGTCTCATTGTTCTACCAAAATATGAACAAACAGTCTGCTGACTCCATGATGATGAGTAGTTCCCTGGTGAAGTTTGTAACAGGAACACTGGTGTTACTTCTTTTCTTGGGTGATCACCAAGCTATTTCTGCTTCACTGCCATCTGGTATTCCCTGTCACCTCTTTGTCTTCACCCCTGCTTATATTTACTGATTTTCTCAACATTGAACTTTGCCTCTATGCTGAGGTGTTGTTTAAAGACAATTTCTGACGGGTATGCATTATTTTTATGTCCCGAAAGGTGTAGATAAGAGTCTTCTGCATGCCCCCGGGTGTGGGTCGAGGAAGATATTTCCAGGCGAAGATGGAAGCTTAGGCTGTCAAAGTCTGGTGTTTTCTAGCAGAAGGAAGTTGCCTTTTCGGAGTTTGAGATCGTCAAGCACGTTGTCTCCACCGCCATCGCCTACCATAAGTAAAGCAAAAGCAATGGTCGTATCTGCACCACCTCCACCGGCACTGTGATGTTGATCATCTGTATCCTTGGTCGTGACCAGGAGAAGAAAAAGAGAAAACACCCTCCATTTCTGTACCTCTGTTGTTTATATGGATGTCATTTCCTGGTAAAAGTTCATCCTTAGATGTCCATGAGCTCGCCTCTCCAAAGTCAAGTGGAGCTCAGTCCGATCCTATTTATGTATTTTGATGTTAATTAGAATTTAATGTTAATTAGTATTTTAATGTATATGCATATATTAATATTTATTTATTTATTTTTAAATAATAATTATATTAAAAATTAAAATAAAAGTTTTTAAAGTATAATGTTAATTGTTTACCAGTAAAATATGTGAAAAATAATTGAAAGATAATTAATGTTTCAATTATATATAATTGAAATTTTGTAATATATATGAGCCTATAAATTAAATTATTCATAGCATTATAATTTTGAAAATATTTTTTTAATAAAAATTATTCAATACCATTAAAATTTTTTAGATACAAATTGAATAAATACTATTAATATTTATAATAAAAATCATTCCATGCAATCAGAATTCTTATATATTTACAAATTAAATAAATCTTATTAATATTTTTCAATACTATTAAATTAAAAATTCAATAAATATTATTAAAATATTGTTAAATGAAAGCCATTTGATGCAAATAGAATTTTTTTTATTAATTAGATAGATCTTATTTATAATAATAAATAATATTTAAAAAAATCGAAACCTTAAATCCTAAACCAAATTAACTTTTCCAAGCTTTTAATTATGGAGTTTTTTGGCGCGAGTTACAACGGGCAGAGCCCTTTTCAAATTCAAGTCGTCTTTCAACTTCACTCACTTCTATCAGAGCTCTCAAAGCCTCATCAGCTAATTGATAGAACCAAGCAAATACACGCTTTAATCACCAAAATACGCCTCTCCCTCGACCCATTTTTCGCCATCAAAGGTCGTCAGATTCCACGGGCTCAACGAGGACTTTTGCTGGGCCCGCAACCTGTTCGATGAAACACCTGCAAGAAGCGCTTTCCTTTGGAATTCCATCGTTCGAGCTTACGCACGAGCCCACAAGTTCAACGATGACTTGTTGTTGTTCGACGGAATGCTGGGAACGAAAACGAAACCCGATAACTTCACGTACGCTTGTGACGTTCACGAGCCTGCTATGAGAACTTTGATTTAGAGGGGATGAGACTTGTTCATACAAGAGTGATTGTTTCCGGGTTAGGATAGGATCCCATCTGTGGCTGTGCTCTTGTTACGGGGTATTCAAAACTGTGCTTGTTGATTAAGCAAGCAAGGTTTTTGATGGGATCCCTGGGAAGGATTTGGTTTTGTGGAATTCCATGGTTTCGGGATATGGGATTTGTGGCCTTTGGAATAAAGGCTTAGAGCTGTTTAGCTGGATAAGACATATGGGCCATCAGTCAGATAGGTATACTTTGGTTGGGCTGATATCATGGTTAGTAGATTCCCAGGGCTTGTTGAGTTGGTCAAGGAACTCATGGTTTTTGTTTGAAAAGCGGTTTCAATTGTATTGTTCATGTGGGAAGTTCACTTGTAAGCATGTATTCTAGGTTTAAGTACCTGGATTTGCAAATATTGTGTTTAGTAGTTTGCTTCAGCCTGATTTAGTTGGGTGGTCTTCTTTGATAACTGGATATTCTCAGCGTGGGGATTATGATAAGGCATTGCTTTGCTTTTGGAAACTGAACATGGAGAAGGGTAAGAAAGCAGATCTCATTCTAATCTCTACTATGCTGGAGGTCACTACTTGATCTGTAAATGCAAGGTTTGGCATGAGATACATGGTTCTGTTGTTCAACATGGATTTGAATCAAATGCCATGGTTTCTTCTGCTTTGATAGACATGTATTCTAAGTGTGGATTTGTGATCATGGGGATCAGTGTTTTTAGGATTATGTCAGAAAGAAGTACAATATCTTACAATTGTCTTATTCTGGTCATGCATTGAATGGAATGGCTTACCAGGCATTAAAGATGTTTGATGAGATGCTAGTGATTGGACTAAAACCTGATTATTCGACCTTCTCTGCCCTTCTTACTGCTTGTTGCCATTCTGGCCTGCTTGAAAATTGTTGGGAAATTTTCAGGAGGATGAAATATGAGTTTTCCATCCAACCTAGAATAGAGCATTACCTTCACATGGTAAAGCTTCTTGGGATGGCTGGAGAGTTGGAAGATGCATACAATTTTATCTTGGGCTTGCCAAAGCCAGTGGACTCTGGCATCTGGGAGCGTTGCTTTCATGCTGTGACGGTCATGGAAATTCTGAGTTGGCAGAAGTTGTATCCCAGCAACTTTTGGAAAATGAACCAAAAAAGGTGCATATGGAGTTATGCTTTGTAATATATATGCTGTTGATGGTAGGTGGGATGATGTGCAGTAGTTAAGAGATGACATAGCAGAACGGGGAGTAAGAAAAGTACCAGGGCTTAGCTGGATTGGGAGTGGAAGCACTTAAGTATTAAGATGACTCAGTAAACCTCTTATTATCAGGTCAACATGGCAGCTGTCTTTTAACATTAAAGTCATTTTAACTTGGCAATTCATTAATGAGCATACTCTTTTGGAATCAACCATCCTCTTCCCTCTTCTTTCATATCTTATTGTATTATGCACTCCGTGCTAATGTCATTATAGGTAACTAAGATCCGGCCACTCATTAATGAAAAAAATATGATTGTTAACTTCTAAAACATTGTATTGATATCAAAATCAAAGGCATTGCTAGACATAGAAAATAGATCAGAAAAAAAAAAAAACCCCTTGGTTTTAAAGGTTTGTTGGAACAATTTTGATATGTAAGCAAGAGATTTGATTGTTTAAAGTTGGAATAAACTACTTTCTTAAATAGAAAGGCCTATGCTCACACACCACCAAATTTTGATCTCTATCATTATTTTGTCCATATTTTTTTCTGCATGATGCTCTTATTCTATGACTGACCAACAAAACAAAACCCTATAATATTAAGTCTTTTCCCAATGTAAACTTGTTTCTTATTTTATTCCATAAACCCAGTAGATTTCTCTTAGTAAAGTACAAATGAAACAAGACAAAATTTTCTTTGTGATTTATATATTTACTAATGCTAAAATACTAATAAAACCCTTTTCCCTATCAAGGAGTTATCAATTAGAAGTAATTTTTGTATTCTTTTTCAAAACATTTAGCAATATTTTAACTCAATAATTTTGCTTACAAAAGTTGAATTTCAGATAAATCTGTACTGACAATAATTTATTTTGGCCAAGAGACTGTCAATAGTTAATATTCATCTATCCACACATGTCTCCTGCATTCCTTCTTGCAGAGGGTTCGCAACAGGATGTAGGGATGAATGATATTTGTGAAATGTGCTTGATTTTGTAATTCTCTTCTCCTCCATCAGGTTTCAGCCTTTCCTTGTGATCATCAAGCAGAGGGAACAAATATAAATGCTTCAATGTGGTTACAAACTGTAATCCTTCAGGAAGCATTCTCAGTTTTGAACAGCAATGAAAATGAAGGCAATTCAAACTTGGTAGTGCTCCCTTTTCAATCGCTGTCCATTCCTCCAAAACATTAGAAGCAATTTGAAGAAATTCAAGCTTGGGAAACCAACCAACCCTGCAAAATTCTTTCCCTAACTGCTTTGAAACATAAGCCTGCCACAAGGTTAACCTTGTCAAATTAGGTAGTAGATGAAGCACCAACATTGGGTTTTCAGACAGGTAAGAGAAACCTAGCCTGAGTTTGGTGAGCATTTTCATCGAGCCAAGCCACTGTGGTAGCTTTTGTAGGAGCCCGTCTAGGCGAAGTTTCCTAATAGTGGGTGGGGGTGAAAAGGAATCTGGAAGGACAAGAACTAGCTGGTGGTCAACATATTTGCCCATTAGAGACAAACATAGAAGGCCCTGAATCTTGCCAATGGAGGCAAAGACTTCACCAACATTCTCACCAGTTACATCGATTATTCCCATTTTTCTGAGCTGAACCAGGTTACCTAATTCTCTTGTAATGCAACAATCAGCATGTATACCAGTAAGCGTCAGTAGATTTTTCAATTTTCCTATTCCTGCTGATGGTGTCGTTCCCCATGAATTATTGGGGCCTAGTTTTAGGTGCCTCAATTTTGCAAGGTTTATTATCTTTGCTGGAAGTGCTTTGAAATAGCCACACCATCTGAGAACTAAAGTTTGAAGGGCTCGTAAGTTACCAAGGCTTGCTGGAAGCTGATTTATGTTGGTTTTTCTCAAGCCAAGATATCTCAGATGTATCAGGTTTTCCACTTCATCTGGTAAGCTCTTGATCTTCCTACCTTCTAAATCTAGCACTCGTAAAAATTTTGCCCAAGGCAAAGTTAGCCAATTTCTGTCATGCTCAGGAAGGTCTTGGTACCCAAACAAGAATAAAGACCGGGGTTGGAGATCGGTTAAGTCAGGTGTTACTGTTATCTTGTCTAAATCAATTGAAACACGACGAGCAGAGCGAGGAAAGCTGAAAATTGGACTGGTACATGTAGCAGTGAAAATTTTCTTCTCCATCTTGTGGATACAAAAATCACGGTAAAGATAGGGGACACTTAACCTGTTGGGGTTATTATCTTCTTCTTGAAGCATGTTCTGGATAATCAGTTCATTTATATTTGCTTCTGCTATATCTTCCATTATCTCTCCTGCTTTCTCTTGAACCAGCCCTTCAGCAACTAATAATTGAATTAATCGTCCTTTATGTATCCAGTAGGCCTCAGGGAAGGTGCAACAATATAGGAAACAAGATTGAAGATAATATGGTAGCTTATTATAGTCTAATTGGAATTGAGAAAAAGTTTGATCGGATGTCTCACCTTCTTCTACCCCATGAGAGGTTTCCATGTTATCCTCCTCATCTCCTCCAGTGGTAGTTGAAATTTTAAGGGCAGATTTCTGACTGTCATGGAAATCTTGAGACTCATCCTTGTCGTCTTTCTTCTGTCCTCCAATGGTGGCTGAATTTTTTGGTGATGCTATCTGACTTGCCTGCTCTTGAGATTTTTTCCTGTCATCTTCCCCACGGCCTTCCAGTTCATGAGGATTTTCCATGCTGTATTCCATCTCTTCAACAGTAGTTGGAATTTTGAGCTCTGCCATTCTGTGAACAGCTAGGGCAAGGCGAGATTCTATCTTCAGCAATTCACTTCTGAAGCAATCAGTCAGGACTAAGCAATCCGATTTCTTTTGCCTATCCATCTGAATGATGAACTCATCGATATGGTCATCCATTTCACTGATCAGTTCTCTCAGTTCATTCACCCAACCACATGTAGCAGCATCTCCTTCTTCACAACTCATTTCTTCAGTGTACTGTCCCACCTCCCTGAGTGTATTTACCAACCTATGCATTTGATCTTCAAGGCCAGAGAAGGTTTCAATTTCCTCAACTAATAGAGAATTCAATCTCTGCACAAAGAACTTCACCAAAGCCTCAGCCATTTCTCTCTATTCAATGAAAACACTTGCTTTTCTAAGAAGGGCAAATGCAAAGAACTCTTTTATAGGACCAAGTCACCCATCTTGCCGATGTCTGCATTGTTTTGCCCACCGGTTGGACAAATTCTTAGTCCCAATCATCGACGAGAAAACAATGTCTTCTATACCAACTACATCACTTTGTGAATGTTGGGTTGTATTTGTCACATATGGAGCATGAGAATCAAATGCAGAATTGGGTTATATGCACAAGGCTATGATGCTGACTTGTAGATAAACTATGCATAATTGGAGACACTAGTGAACTTGGATGAGATTATGTATTTAAATCATCTACAATCAGTTGTATATGCATTATACGATAATATTTTAATGATCTTCAACTAAATTTACATACATGTGTGTAAATCTCAGAAGTAAAATTATGGTAAAAAATAGAATAAAATCGTATAACTTAACAAATAACAATTCCAAATTAACTTGAATTCAAACTTTACAAATGATCTTCACATCGGCTTGGTCTTCAAGAGGCATGACATGATTGACATAGCTCTTGTATAAACATCTATATCAACTTGTAAGGTATTTTTGTTTCGATCTCATTGAATTTTAAATTTTATTTCGATATTTTACATGTTAAAAATGATGTAAACATTTAAATATATCGATATGAGATTGGGCTTCTGGTCAAAAATTTCTGTTCCCTACCCAATGGGCCAATGCATATCAACCCAAATGTAGAATGCAGCTGGCCCAGCCCAAGCTCAAAAAACAGCCGAACGGGCAGCAAAACAAACAATTTATACTGGTAAGTGAAAAGCGTAAAACCCATTCGGGGAAGAAAACCAAATAAAATACGGAAAGCAGGGACGACACCAAGTTGGCGGGAACCTGATTGCCTAAGAAAAAGCGTTTCCATATTTCCACCATGAAAGAGCAGTGGGAGATACATTACTCGCGGTTTTTCAATTTCCCTGGTCTCCCATCTACTTGTCTCAGCCTTAAGACTCTTCCTTCCAGGAAGCTTCGCTCCGTTGGCAACTGGGTCTCTTCTCCTTCACTGGCTTCTCTGCAGCTCATCACCAACCCCAATGCTCATGGGACCGTTCTTGTTGTCTCTTTTCAAGGAAAAATCCATGTGGGTTTCTCTCATTTTCAGTTTTTCTTTAAGCTTCTTTTTTGTTCCTTCTTTATCAACTTATTTTTTTTTTCTCTGTTATGCTTGAAATGGTTTTGATGGGTATTGATTCTTTTGATCCCTTAACCTTTTATTTTTTATTTTGCTGGGATTTTGTTTAAGAGACTGTATGTTATTCATGTCCAAGGCATTTTTGTTGATTTTCTTTTTTGAGCTGTATAACGAGACTAGCTCTTTTCCATCTTATAAAATTACGCTGCTATTTTCAAGATTCGAACCTAAGAATCTCTGAGTTGAAGGTCCCCAATTCTAGTTGTTGCCCATCCCTCCTTAGAGACGTTTTTTCATTGCCTTCTTTAGTAGTGCTGAAGTTGATGTTGGCTGTGTGAAATTGTGAATGAAGCTATGTTCAAACGCATCTTAAATATTGATTGATGTCATGTAGGAAATTTCCTTTCTATGATATCTTTTTAAAAATTCAATGGCTCCCGAGGAGTATTCTGATTGAACGGTTGAGATGCCTCATTTCCAGATTATAGCAGCTGGTTTTAATCTCTATCATGGGAATTTTTTTTTGTTGACCTTGTTTGGATATCAAGAAGCAATTCTTAAGTTCACTGATTATGTGTGCTTTGGTGTACTGATATCATATCTTGCAGGAAGAACACCACGCATCCAAGCTGCATTTCACTTGGCCTCAAGTATCCTGTCTAGCAGAATGTCCCGTTAGAGGTAGCAAGGTTGTCTTTGCAAGTTACAAAGATCGTGAGGGCCAGGCAAGCTTCTAACTGTACTCTCTGAGGGTACCTTACTGAATGATGGAATCTTTGATTAGAAAATTGACATGCGTGCTTGGTGATTGAGTCTGTGAAATTCATAGTGTTATTTGTGTATATTCTTATTTTGATATCATATAGTAAATTATTTTCTCTTTCATGTTCAAAACCTCTGTTGTTTATGCAGTCAGTTGCTTCTTTTTCATAAAGAGCATCCGAACTCTACCCTTGTTTTTTTGGAATTGGTGGTGACATTAGCTGACCTCTTGGATCTTTTCCATAATTTGTTGCCAACTCTCAATTAGAAAGAAAATATAGAAAAGTTTATCTCATCAGCTTATAAGTGTCTTATATGAATCACTCAATGTCAATGATGTAGTTCTTTTATAAAATTGATCTATAATCAATTTTAAATTGGCTTAATAATCTAGTATGAACAACTTTTGCCGATGTCTTAATATAGTTTAAGATGACCACTTCGCTAAGGTTGATCCCCTACTTTTGCATGTTCATTAGGCCTTTTTTTGTTATGTTGCAGCTCCAAAAGTTTGCCATGCGGTTTTCAGCATCCCATGATTCACAAACATTCATGAACTCTTTAAAGGTAGCTCCAAGTTTCCATACTTGTTTGACCTGACTCTTAAGTCTTAAGCATGTTGATGGAACCTTGTTACACAAAGTTTAAACAGATTTTAGATGATGTGTACTGGTGGAACTTGATAAGTTTCTTTTAATTAGGAGGAATTACTTTTGAATTCAAAGTTCCTTTACACAATTAGATAACTGGAATATGCCATCAATATGACCCAAAGGCTATAAGAAGAACATTTATGTACTTAAATTATCTGATAATAGTTTTTAATTTAAAATTTGGGTCTTAGATGAATCTTACATCTGAATAGATTTACACCCATTGTACAATTGAGTCCATCTGATGTAGCTGAAAGTGGAACTGTATGACCTGAATGAATGTCTCAAAATTAAGCGTCATACACAGATGGTCTTAGGGTCCGAAGATGTTACTATGTTTCTGTTTTTTCTTATAAGAATTGCAGTTGTTTGATTCTGTAGGAGAGCTTGAAGGATGCTAGAAATGTATGGCTTCCAACCAGTAATCGTGGTTTTGCTACTTCACTTACATCAGAGTTGGTAGATTTGAATGGAATCACTTCTAGGTGACTATTCCTTAAGTTCTATACACGCAGTTCATGTATGGTCATATTTGCCTGGAGAATATCCAAATTAATGAAGAATTACATATTAGAAAAGGTTTAAGTGACAGTTTAGAAGTGTGTTTGGCGCAGACCTGCTGTGGAATTATGCCATGTAAATCTTATCGGAAATCATGAACCTCTTCAGTTGCCTCCAACAAACGATAAAGGTTTGAAATGCCCTTGTCCTAAGGAGTCAATATGTAGTCCTAATCCAGGAGCCAAAGACGCAAACTTGCCATCCAGCTTCACTGCACTCCTTTCTGGCTCTTGCACTGAGACTGAACAAGGTACAGTTAATTTGATGGTGGAAATGAACCAATTGCTTGAGTGGGTTAAAATAACATGTATGAATAAAACATCTTTTGTGTTATTAAAGGTACGAATGGTGCAGAACTATCAAAAGCACCAGTGAAAATGAATATCGTGTCCGAAGTGGTGGTATGTTTGCAACCCTGTAGTCTAGTCTCGAAGATAATTTTGGCATGACATTATTATGGTGGCAGTTATCTTGAGCTGTATTGTAACAAATCTACCACTGTATCATTGCATGACTAGGACAGTTCTGTTACACCTTTAATGATAATTCGTAGTTTGCTGCTTTGACCAAATTTTTCGCGTTTCCTTTATTTGTCTTTTTGGCAGAGAGATATGACGGATTCTTCTTTTCATGGTATGTAGATTTCTGCTGGTTGCAATTATCAGCCATGAATCTTAAGCACCTAGTTTCTTTAAATCTCCCATTCCCAGTATAAAGTTTCTCAAATTTAAGCTTTATGCATTCTTATGCTGCTCTTGGTTGTTCTTATCAGATATGTTAACTAAGATGGAGATGGCCATTGATGACTTGGGAGGGGATTTGGCGCTACGATTTCATGATTTCCTCTAGTTCTGCATCAAGAGCTGAAGTTTTAACTTCTTCCCTGACTCAAAGCTTTCTATTTGAGTTAAATAGCAGCCAACTAAGATCCCTTTGATGAAAATTCGGTTTGGTTCTCCATATTTTTGTATTACACTAAGTACTGAAACAGATATAGCGAACTGCAGTGCGGATGCAATATTAGCACTCTAAATTTTGATTGGAGAGAGTCCAGTCTTCTTTATTCTGTAATTGAAACAGTATTTTCACACATTAGAGTTTATTCATACAAATTGTGCTTGCTGTGTTAGACTAAACATTCATTCCGCAGCCTTGACATGAATGGATCTGCCTGCTTCTTCTTCATGGGCCCAAAACAAAGTTAGGATTTGCTCTAGGCTGATGGGATTCAGTCTCAAAGTTGAATCCCAACCCCGCCAAAGTCATTCCAGCAGTAATGCACAAGAGATCAGAAGGTAGCAAATCTAAGCTTTTTATTCAGAGCAAGCATTCAATAATCTATGCTTTCACTGGTGATTCTAACGAGTGGGTCACATGCACTGCTGCTAAATACAATAGAAATTCACATACTAATCCATAGACTGCTGTCATTCTGCAAAATGCCTTAGCTTCTAGTGAATATATATATATATATATATATATATATATATATATATATATATATGTAGGGCAGATAAGCAAGGTTACTTCTTTGGGTTATAAATATATATATATATATGAGCAACACCTCAAGGTTAAATGGTATAAGCAATTCTGGGTCTCATTGGGTCAAGTTAACATTTTTAAGTTGAAATAGCGTCATAGATATCCTTACATCTAGGAGGTCAGGAGTTCGATCTCTAGGGAATCGTAATTGTACAGTCATGCCTCATTTGTTTATAAATACTCAAAGATTAAGACCTTAGGCTAGCTTCATTCAAAAATTGAAAATGTCTATGGTTCTCAAAGGCTTGGGTTTCCTCTTCTTAAAAAGGAAAACAAGATATAGTTTTATATAGTTTTTATATTAGATATAGGTATAGTTATTTATTTTGGGTTACTGACCCCATTGCATGCTGCAAACCTGACCCACATGGAAATATATAGAAAGCTAGTAGGCGTGCAAAAATAACACAATCTAAACTCTTCCCAAGCAGTCTGTCCAGAGGCCCAGAGGCTCAAAAGAAGAAAGAATGGTAAAGTACCTTAGCTTCTTGTATTTGACAAGTGTTCCCTAACCATTATTGATTGAGACCAGCAGCTATACTTTTTACATATAGAAGAGAGAGAGAGAGAGAGAGGCAGAGACCCAACCTTTGAAAATCAATACCAGTTTTGCTAATTACCTTTTCTTGGTCTTAATCCTGAATAGAATTGAATGAAACAATGAATGTTTGATTTGAGTAGGGAATATATAGAATGACATATGCCTGTGGTATTTGAAGAAACTTTAATCGTTGAACTTGCTAATTTTCTAAACTTCAATGGGGCCATATGTTCAAATGTTCATGCCTTCCAGAAAAATGAGAGGCAACCTGCATGGAGAAGAGCAGGTTTTAATTCATTTCAATCTTCTTTGAAAATATGCTTGTAAATATCTTTCCTTAACAATTCTAACAACATTAAAAATCGTCTTACAGTTTTATTTTTTAGGTATATTTTTAGAGAAACAAACTCGTTAACAGATGACGTGATCGAAATAAAATCTTACATATTAAGAACGTTTATGTTATGTTGTAACATTTTTCGGGGTACATATACTTTATTATGTTCTTTTCTTATGCTTTATTTATTATGTGTAACTTGACCTTTGTCCACTCTTAATTATAATTTAAAAACTCTACTTATCAATTATATTAATAACATTCACTACTTTCAAAAAGAATATCTTTCTTATTTCTTTTATATATAAAATATATATTATAATAAATTATATCATAATCATAGTTTAAGTGTGAATATATATTTATACATACATATATGTATACATATCGATTCAAATATATATATATATATGTATGTATATGTTATAGACAATGTAAGTGTATGATTTTGTTTTTATATATTAATTAAACCAATTACATATTTGATTGATGTTTTTATTTTAATTATTTTTTATATAATATAATTATCTTACTACTAGTTGCTTTTATTCTATGTATTGAATATAACAAAATTTTTAACCAAAGAGCAAATAATATACACTAAGAAGTAATAAAAAATAACTGTGAAGATAATTTATAGTTGCTTATGTGTGGTTCACTTATGATATAGGCTTTTATCATACCTCAATTTAATGTCTCAAATCAAACTGAAATGACACTTTTTAAAAAAATATTTAGATGTATGAAGGATATTTTTTAAAAATTTTATTTAAAATATTTTAATTCAAATGTGAGCTTACAATCCAATGAAACTTATCATATTAGACCTAATTAACAATATTAGGCAATTGGTATCGAGCTAATAATAACAGTAAAGTGCGTAAAATGAAATTAAATGTACATTAAAAAATATTTAAATTCGAGACATTCTTGTTAAATATCGACATATTAACTAGAGTAATTGATTATGACTTTTTGGCAATAAAAGTTTCCTTTCTATATATGTAGCTTCTTGTAAAGAAAGGTGTGCCCTCTCCCATGCAACCTGATTGTGACTCACACACATAGGCAAGGCAAAGGAAAGGAAAGGATGGTACTTTTACCACTTTACAAATTGAGTTTGAAAGGGTTTCTTCTTCTAACTCTTCAAATACCCCACACCCACACATGGGACTCAGAAATTGAAAGGAAAAAAAAAAAAAAAGAGCAAAGGCCTTGTCCCTCGGGAAGGAAGGGTATGGGGGGGCATAGCCCTTGGGGAGGAGAGGAGAGGAGAGGGGGACAGGGGCCTAAAGAGGTAATGGTTTGGGCAGTAATAGGGACTAACAGCCACTATAGCTGGGACAACAACTCCAACTCTCCTCCTCAAAGGCCCCACTCTCTGCCCCTACCATGCTTTTTATCTCTAGGTACCCAGCCCTTTTTCTTTGTTAAATATTTTGCACAACCCTCTTTTCTTACTTTATTACCACCTTTAATTTTCTTCATTTAATCACAACCATATATGAAGTTTTACTAAAAGAAAAAAAAATTACACTTAATTTTGTTCTTAGATGGACCAAAAAAAAGAAGTATATTTTATGTTATATCTTGGAAGCTAGCTATTCATTAATTAATTAAAAAAATCTTATTTACTCTTACAGGCCAATGCTCAAAGATATATATTTGATTTGATTTGATTGCTCCTTAATTGCCTTTTCAATTATTCATGAGAACAAAAGCAAGAAAAGAAAAAGCCCTTTTATCGTACTTGGCAATAGCTTGCAAAAAAGAGAATAAAATATTAGTACAAAAGCTTTGTATTTTTGCATTTGTACTCCGTTATTCTTCCCTATCACAATTGACAAAGGCTATTGTACGGTGGGTTTATATTTGAAATATTGTCGGTCCGTATAGATTTTATATATTATAATTAAATCAAATGATATTATTATTGTTTTAATAATATATAAATTTAAAAGTTAAAAGCTCTCAAAAGTAAGTATTTATAATTTTAATAATATTTATTTTGAATAATTTTTGAAATTTTATCGTTATGTATTTATGAAGTGACATTTTATAGTTAAGTGATAATACATAAAAATTATATTCTAACTGTGCAAGATTTTATTAATTGTTCCAAATCACTAACTGTGAGAATCTTGACCGAAGGGTGAAGAATATAAAAAAAAAACTATAAAAATCATTAAAATAAACATATCTTTTATGTGAAGATTCTGCATTCTTCCTTCATTGGTGTGCACTACTAAGTCATCAAGCAATAGCATTTTCTTCATTTAGTAAGGCAATAAGGTTCACTAATCATGAACATTAAATGATGGAAAATATGCTTGATAATTATCCATCAAAAAGAAGAAAGAAAATTCTTCAATAAAGTCATTAGTGCTGCTTTACTGAAATTACCACCACTATCCACCATCATAGCCTAGACCAGCCAGCAATAACACTATATCTAGAGGAGAACCTACCTCAATCTTTGATATTCTTACCCAAATTCATTGCCATTGTACTTGTCACCATCATGCTGTCATCTCCCTGACTCTGTCATCACAAAAACACTTGAATCCACCCCATGATGGGGACAGTCTGAACCTTGGATTGACATAAAAAACCAGGGACTGTAGAGAGCAGTTTAGAACATATGTAATTGAAATTAATCAGAGAAATGCTGAACATATGTAAAACTCTAGCTAACAATCATGTTTACAGGAAGTTGCCAACATTTTTCTACCAAATTGTTAAAATGCAGGAAAAAAAGGGTAATTCTGATTATATGGGTTAGTTTGGGATTAAAACCTATGTTTGATAGCACTCACTTTGGCTTGTTTCACCTGATTAGACTCAAGCAAACATTTTCCACAAAGACTTTGTGAGCTTATCATGTGAATGATTTGAATGGTAGCAATTAGGAGGTCGACAACAGCTGATCATGAACCAAACAAAATAACCTTAATCTAGATTGCAGTAGCCATGTCAGAATCTGTCAGATTTTATCACATGTGGCTGGCCGTCCATTGGGGATAGTTATAATTCATAATAAGAAATGCAAGTCATGAGGCATGCATATGGAATTGAAAGAAAGAAAGAAAGGGCATGGGAATGCTTATCATCTAAGGCTGCAGCTAAACAGTTTAACATAAATAATTTACTGATGAAATGTTGTAGAATAGGCCTCCAACATGCTAAGTCTAGCATTTTTGTATTTTTGGGAGTTTGATAGTAGGTTCTGGTTAGGGTTCTTGCTCTTTGATTATCTGTAATGAAAAGGATGCCACCATGAATTTAATATGGACAACCTAAGAAGAGCTAGACAGAACAGTTGATTTTTCTATCATGACCAGAAGGGAGTGCATTCGTTGTAATATCATTCTTTTGTTCTGAACTGTTGATCTGTCAATTCACATAAAAGCATTGTCGCCTGGGTTTTAGGCAGTTAAAGTTCATGTCATTGTATGGACCATTTAGAGAAAGAATCCTGATAAAGACCACTAGCTCTAGTTGATCAATGATACAGTAGAATCCATTGGTACACATTTTGTTCCTTCAAATTCCGAAAATGCTTTGATCATCTAGGTTCCTTGCATTTGATTGATCATTAGTTAATTCATCATTTCTTACTGATATGTGGGTAATGTAGATGAATGTCAAGCTTGAACTTATTATTAATGTTAAGCGGAAAAGGGTTCTTCTAACCAAAGCTAATTAAGAAGAAGCAAATATAGTGGTAACGGTCAGCAAACTTTAGAGGTGAGAATTAGATTGGCACATAATCTCTAATGTGTTGGGTTCTTAATTTAGCTATTGCATCGGATAAGGTGTTTATCTCTCTAGCTATATGCTCAAGGAACAAGCTTATAATTTTGCATTTTAGGCTCTCAACATAATTCGAGATAAGTTTCATTGGTCAAGGGACTATAAAGTGGTTTTGGCAAGTAGATAGCTAGTTCATCTTTTCTAATTGAAATTCTGACGACATAGATGATTGTTCTTTTTTTTTTTTTTGTGTTATTTCAATTTTGACTAATTGTCTCTTATATGTGATATTCCATTCATAAACAGCTGGAACCACAAGTTGTTTAAAGTGCAGAGGCCCCCTTCCCTGTCAAAATTATAGGAAATTTGACAGATAGTGAAGCATTAATGTCAAGTTAAAACCACCCTTGCAAATTGTAATTAATTTCCTGTATATAGAAGGAAAATTATCCTTGCATGTGCTTAGATTAATAGGAAGCAAAGAAATTTACAGCAGTTGTTATATATATATATATATATATATATATCATATGATAGTGAATAGGATATAGTTTCTGTAATAAGAACTTTCAAAGGTTGATCATCCTTAAAAGTTAATTTTATGGTGCATGTTTTGTTTTCTAAAGAGGATGAGAATTTGATTTAAATAATGAAAGGAAAGTTACATGTCCAAAACCAAGGTCAACTAAAGAAAAGGAGGAGAGAGACCCTTTAATAGGGATTTAACAATATGCAAAACTTAAACTTTCATCAATCCATGACCAGTAAGCGAGTTAGTTTCTCTTAAAATGTGATTAAAAGAAAAATTAGAGATTTTTTCTTTATAACTTTCGATATGATTTCTTCGATAAATACGTATACGTTAAACCAATTTATATAGAAAATACCTTATATATTTTCACTTAGATTTGATCGGTTTTAACCTCCTCCTCCTTAATGTTCAGCTACAAGAATTTGGACTACCTTACATGCTTCAGTCTTGGTGGTCTAATGCCGCAAAGCTGTATGGTTTGTTTTCTTCTTTGATAAAAAGAAGAAAAAAGAATCCTTAAAAGAGCATAAGAACAATTGAAGTCAGCATTACTTATAATGATCGAATGGGGGATCTTTGAACTATGCAACAATTTTCTTTTCCCCTCCTTTTTGCAATTTGTTAATGTGTTTTAATTCTCCATTAGTTTGCTTTAGTTTTTTTGGGGGGGATTATGGAATATATGTTATTGTCTCAATGCATGAGAAAGAGAAATGTTGGGGAATGAAAAATGGGAGACATCCCCACATCCCTGATATTATTATTAGATGCAAGGTCATAGTCATTCTTTAGTGTACCTCCCATTTATTACCTTTGTCTTTTGCCTCCATTCCTTCTCCATCCACTAAATGCTCTTTGCCTTCCCTTCTCTTCCATTACCTTTTCTTACTGAATTTGCAGGTCCCTTTCTCTTTCTATCACTTCTCCAGTTAGGGTTTTCCTCTTTGAGGCTCAGCACCAGGCCCCCTGCAATAAATCTGTGAATTGTTTCACACCCTTCACTGGCCAAGGGCTACCTTGTATCTTGGTAGGAGCAAAGAAGCATCCTCCTCAAAGAGCTCATATAAGGGAAAAGGTACTTCCCTTTTTTTTCTTCTGATCAAAAGACGCAGATCAAAAACAGGTAATTATGTGTATGTAGCTGCTGCTTTTGTTCCTTTTCTGTGCTAATGCGTCTTCTTCTTCTTCTTCTTCTTCTTCTTTTTTTTTTGGTTTTTTCTTCTTTTCTTGGCAAGCTAAAGGCTAAAGAGATACTCCCACTCTCTTTGGCTAAAGTGTCTGATTTAGGGCTTTCTTATGTTCAAATACCCATGAAACAAGATAATCTTGGTGAATTGCACTATGTCAGATCCCCATCTTCATTTGATTACAGAATGATCATATATATATATATATATATATATATGATCATGCAACTAATAAATTATCTATATTTATTAGTCTTGACAGGTTGGGAAAAGGAGAGAAAATGGAACCAAAGTTAATTATGGATATTACAGAAAAAGACAAACTTAGGAACCAAAATTTAATGGTGACATGCACAAGTCCTTGTGGATCATGGGGGTGGGTGAATTGTTCTTTCTAAACGCACAAGAAATTAGTAAAGAGGGAAAAGATAACAGAGAGTAAAAATGGAAAAAAGATGGAAAAAAAGAAAAAGGAAGGGATGCATAAAATAAACCAGTGACAATTAATTCCCAGATTTAAGAGGTTCTATGCATGTGTGTTTAAAAAGGTTCTCTCTGCTGTATGTCTGTGTGTGTGTCAGAAAGGTGGACATGGGATTTTTTCTTTTTTGTGTTTACTTCAAAACTCTGGACATAAACCAGGTTAGATTGATAGATACTGATCAGAAAGAAAATCCATTCAGGGGGAAAACCCTAGTAAATATGGATCATATATAGATTCTTTGAGGAGTGACCCAAATTAGAAAAAGATAGAAGAAATAAACAATTTATAGTCAACAAGGTTTGCAGAAGAATTTTAGATGATAATATAGTTTTCTAAAACAATTTTATGGAATTTCATAATTAAAGAAGTAAAAGAAATACTCTACTACAAATTTAGAACAGCTCACGACAAATGCTTGTTCTGGATCTGTGCATATTGCCGGTGTTGCAGTGTGAAAATGGCTTCCTCCAGCTCTTACAATTCACCCTGTGCTGCTTGCAAGTTCTTGAGGAGGAAATGCATGCCAGGTTGCATCTTTGCACCTTACTTCCCACCAGAGGAACCCCAAAAATTTGCCAATGTTCACAAGATCTTTGGAGCAAGCAATGTGACGAAGCTCCTCAACGAGCTCCTCCCTCACCAAAGAGAGGATGCAGTGAATTCCCTTGCCTATGAAGCTGAGGCAAGAGTAAGAGATCCAGTTTATGGCTGTGTTGGTGCCATCTCTTTCCTGCAGAGACAGGTTCAAAGGCTCCAGAAAGAACTTGACGCAGCCAACGCTGATTTGATTCGTTATGCCTGCAACGACATCCCAACTGCCTTGCCTGCACCGCCAGGGGTGAGCTCGGTTCAACCTCTAACTCCCCGTCACAGGCCAGCTGATTTTAATAGAAGGATTGGTAGTGAAGGAGCTGGAGGCTTCTATCACCCCACCGGTGCTTTCCCCCTCCCTTATTCTTTTCCCTGGAATGATAACTCTTCTGGTGACATCAACGATGGAGGAGGAGAAGGCGGCATGTGAAATCCAACCAAGACAAGTTCCAAACTGTCGGCCCCCATTTAGGGTTTTTCAATCTGGGGCATGGCTCTTGGTGTGTGATGCTACTTATATATTTTTAGTTAAGGTTTCTGGCTAGCCTCTCTCGGTGCCTCTCGCTTGGACTCTCCCTAGCTAGAATTTCACTTAACTTTCTATTGTTTTCCTTCCTATTAATTTGGTGGGTTGAGTTCTCCTTTTTTTTTGCTCTCTGATCTCTTTGCCCTGCTAATACCAGGGGCTTAAAAATGTGTCATCAGTGTACTATTTTGTGGGAGTTGGGACCTAAATAAGTGGTCTAGAGCCATCTAGTTTGGCTGCTAAACCATTTGTTGTGCAGCAAGCAGCAGCTCTCTAGGCGTGAGTGCATGTGGCGTTTGCTCTTCTCTTTCTGTCATTGTTTATGCTTAAGAATAAAAATGAAATAGCTGCAGCTAGTTTCAAGGTCGAACTTTAAAGAGGATTCTCCAAAGCCTAAGTCTACGGCGTAGTCCTCCTTTACGCTATTTATTCTTACCTTTCTACTTTGTTCTTGAGGACCACTGCCGGTTTTACTTTCTCTGCGGAATTTTATTCAGTAATTCATTCATAGCCACAGGTTCCAAATGGCCAAAATTCAAACCCCAAGTTGCACCTGAATAACCACTGTTTTCTTTTATGTATTTCTTAGGATCACAGGTCTCGACCTTTTCCCCTTTTTAATCTAAAGAAATAATCAGTCAAGCTATGGGTGTTTCAACTTTTTTCCTGCTTTGTTTAAGGGTATTCTAACTTGTTTAAACTCTAGCTATAGCTTGTACCAAAAAAAGAAGGGAAAAAAAACACACTGAAAAGGGTTGGTGTGAGAGCCTGTTTTGAGACCCAAGCTCCACCTCCCATTTTCCATGGTAAACAGAGGTCTCAAACAGTGAGTCACAGTCACTGCCCTCATTGGATCCGATATGTAAAGTGTTTGTTCACTTGTTCAGTTTGTTCTTGCATGTAAGGGTTGTTTCAGCTTTTCGTTCCCCAGCCATTTTCACTATTAGGATCCCCAACATCTTTCTATACCAAAACAGTGGAACCTTAGACAAAAGTCTTAAACACTGTCAAGTCCCTATCTCTCTCTCTCTCTCTCTCTCATAATTGCGTTTCTCATCCTTTATATTTTTCTATTGGTTTCTTTCCTTTTCTTTCTTCTAATTTGCTGAATTTTTTTTCATATCCTAATATATCTATATGAATGCATGCAATTATCAAGACAATGCATGCATGTCCATGAAGAGATAATCATAATGAAGCTACAACAGAAAGGTATATTTTAAGGAACCTAGCTCATAAATGAAAATTTGTAGCTAACCCCAGGCAGAAAATACAGACCCAGAAACCTAGGGTTAGGGTTTTACTTTGCATCAGCCCAAGAATTTCTAGTATATATTTTCCAAAGGTCAGCAAGCATATTCTTTCCTTTGTCCTCTCCCCTTTGAAAAGGGAAAGGGGAAGAAGGGTATCCTCTCTCTTAACACTTGTTTCTCCAAATTAACCAAGCTTGTCTGGTTTTTTATATCAAAATTAAACAATTAGTTAAATAATCATATGCGGTCTGAAATCTGAATGAATGAGATATGACTTTTGAAATAAAATTTTCCTTATTTTCTTCGACTGTCAAATTCATTTCATTCTCTCTTAGATCTTTTTTTCCTTTTTCTTTTCTCTCTCATTCTCCATTCACATAGCCACACGCTTGCATTCATGTGTCGCTGTAATGCAAATGTAGCAGTACAAAGCTTTCATCATAAAACACGACCATCTCTTCTGTTACTCCCACTTTTTGTCAGTGTATATCTATCTGCCTGCTGCCCACACCCACAGCTGATCAATGCTGAATCCTCTCCCTCTCCCTCTCCCAACACTTTTATCTTTTAAAAACTATTGTGTAAACTTCACTGAAGCTTGTTATGACTTTAATTTCCTCACATACTCAATTGGTATCTGGAGAAATTATGCACAAATTTACGTTATTTAAAAGAAAGTGAAAACTGTGCTGTCTTCTGTCTCTCTCTCTCTTACTCTATCAATAGGTCTCTGGATTTGGGGTTCTGCCACTACCAGTGAGAGTCACGTCTATTGTCCTCCAATTCATCGCCTCCCTGATCAGCCCACTGAACCAAAAATTTATTTTATTTTTATTTTTGGGTTTCTCGAGATCTCCAAAGCCTCACCTTTTTCTTTGTTGGAATTTCTGGTGAAACCAAACACAGCTACTTGCTAATCTTTTTAGCCTTCGTTTCAGCATTACCATATCAACTTTACAAAGTGAACAGTGTTTACAATATTTAAGAGTTTGATGGTTGTACTGTTGGGTTTCAGAAAGTACTCAGATCAGAGGGGCAAGTGTGGCTTCTCTTCTTCATCTTCTCTTTCTTTCTTTCTTTCTTTCTTTCCTTTTAATCTTTATTATTTCTTTCTGAAGAATGAAAAAAGTCATTACCTTACTGAATTGAGACTCCATCAACCCTTCTCTCTCTCCCTCTGCAAAACGTGACAAAGAAGTAAAGAGCAGGTGAAAAATGGCAGTGGATTTTTATTCTTTTCCTTCAGAAAAAAAAATAAAAACAAAGAAAGAACAATTGAATCAAAGGACAAATAAGATAAACAGGGGAGTGCGGGTCCTATTTTTGCTATAGCCTCTGCCCCCCCATCCACACAAGAAACTCTTCACACAGATTCACACAGAGATGTTGTTTCTGGACAGCATGGGACTCATCATTTGTATCTTTTACGTTGGGTGTTTTTGATGTTCCAAGACACCCTCCAAAAAAGTTTGGATTTTCGGGATGTGGGTTTCTTGTTTTCTTCTTCCTGTTTCCATTATTAATTTGCTCTATTTTGGCCATGCCCATCACCATTTCAATATAAATTATATACATACAGTTATATCTCTCTATGTTATCCATTAAATAATGCAAACTAGTTCAGCTACTATTGTTGGGACCAATTTTTACATTTTCTTTTTGTTAAGTCATCAAAAATTTTAATTATGAATATACCCTAAGTGATATAACTGTTCAACCATAGGTAACTATTGTTGGGATCAAATTTTACATTTTCTTTTTGTTAAGTCATCAAAAATTTTAATTATAAATATACCCTAATCGATATAACGGTTCAACCATAGATAACAAAACACTGTACGCAATTTGAACATTTTTCTGGACTTAAATATTTGAGTTGGTCGTAAGTATACATGTATTGTTTGTTCAAAAGATGAATTCAAATCTCTTTTCTCTTAAATAAAAAGAAAATTTACAATTATCTTAATTTTAAATATTTGGATGTTTTGAAACTTTGAAGTTGAATTTTTGTAATCATTATTTTTTTGAGTGTTCATTACTCTTTAGAGATAGAGAGATCATTGAAGAAGGTACCAAACTAAAAAGAATAAGATAGAAATAATGAATACCATAATAAATTTCTGGAACAAATAAAAATTATGATATATCATCCTGGAGTACTAATTTACCCTGACACTCACCTCAGGTAGTGGGGAAAAAAAAAACTTTAACATTTCCCAAGTGAATAATTAATATTTGCCTCCTTCCAATTCTGGTACTACTTATTTTGTGCATAATTAATGTTGGACCAAAGTGATTACAAGTACAAAGTACAATCCAATGAAATAATTACTAAACATATACACAAAAATCAATGAATAAATTAAACTAAACAATATAAAGTTAGAGAAAATCTACCAAGAGGAAATTTGAACTGAACTCATCATCCATATGATTTATATTTTTAAACAAATAATGATGGGTACTTATTTTTTCATTCGGACACGAAAAGAGATGTGTCTTAGTATTTACTTGGATCGTAGTGTATGTATGTGTTTCGAATTCAAAAAATTAGATTAAAAAATAAGAATGATTTAGTGGTGTGATCTGCAATGGCAATCTCACATCAAAAAGGAAAAGAAAAAAAAAAAACAGGAATGTTTGCTGAAGATTATGTAGCATGGGAGAATTTGTTAATGGAAATATATCAAAAAAAAAAAGAAAAGAAAAGAAGTGAAAGCAACCATACAGAGGAACTTGATGACAGATTAGATAATTAAATTTAAAGAAAAAACAAAACATAAAAATGAAAAAAAGTACTGCTGCTAATCTTTCAGTTGTATGCAGAAGATTGCAGTGAAATTTGATGGGAAAAGATAAGAGAATTTGGGTCCAGTTAATTTGTGAAGGCGATGCATCAGAGGGGCTATGATCCTTTTCGAGCCACTGAAATTTGTTCCAGACTGGCTAGAATCTTTGGCCTCATCGTCTCTCTCAGAGACCTGGCCAATCAAACAAATACTTCTTCTTAAGTTTCTTTTAGCTTTATATCATCTTTCTCATCTCTCTTGTGTTTTCAGAGATCTTCCAGGGGTCAGCAGCTAATTTTTTGCAGCTGATCAACTTGGCAAAATGTGGGCCTGCATGTGTTTGCTACTTCAATCCTGCTTTTGGGGTTATTACCTTCTCATCCCTCATTTTGTCTGTTGTTCTAGCTCAGGTGATGAACATGGTGCGCAAAAACCAATGGAGAAATCAGAATTTCACTCTGTTAAAAGGGAAATTCCTAACCTGAATCTTGACTATTGCTCTTTGCTTCTTTTAGGATGTTGACTAGTGAAAAGAGAAGACAAGAAAGGAGATGAGAATTCATTGTTTTTGAGTACAAGGAAGCAAATGAATTCATCAGCTTTTAATGCCTGGCAATGAATTTCAAGTTTCCTATGATCAAATCCCCAAAAAAAACAAATATAAAAATTTCATAATGTTCAAGAAACTAATGTAAAAAAAAAAAAACCCACATACCCCATCATGATTTTGTGTTAAATAATGTTAATAATATATAAATGTTACATCAATTAATAATATTTCATTATAATACAATAAAAATTAAATTACATACACCCTTTCTTGATTAACTAAGTATATCCTTAATCAAGATTGCAAAAAACTTATTATAATTTTTAAAAAACAAGAAGTGCAAAACGAGAAAAAAATAGATATATTTGACAAGTTAATTAGCTGTTAAAGCTTCTTTCAATTTTATACATATAAACAAAGTTTATGGCAAAGAATAAGTACTACCAAGATTAGGCTTGATTATCATATTTTCCTTTTGTTTTTTTTTTAATTTCTTTTTGGGTGTATACGGTGAGAAAAAGAAGGATGAAATCTTTCCTGCCCCTATGTGGAAGCATGTAGAATGTGAATGGGAAGAAGGTGTAAAATTACTATTTTAGCAATACATCCTTCAAAAAGGTTTTCATATATAGAAATTTTTTGTGTGATTGGGTAAACAAAATTTATATCTTTTCTTATAAAAGAAAAAAGAAAGTTAACCACTCAAATTTTATTCCTATAATACCTAGTAAAATAAAAATTAATTAATAAATATATGCTAGTATCTAATTTCTCACCCATTTTTTTATTAATTAATAAAAAAAAGGAATCTTCCTTCTTTGTGCAAGGCATAATATATGGCCTAATCAAACCATTCCTTTGGCACTTTCTTTACCTAATTTTGCAACATATCATGAAGAAATAATTAAAGGGATTTCCTCTGTGGCTGTTTGTAATTATCAGTTGGGTGTGGACAGACTGAAATCTCCATTCTTTTTCGACTTCTTAATTCATTGCTTCCAAGAGAGCCAAATCTATTCAACATTGATCATCTGATTGGTCATGATAATGCAATTTACATACAAATTACAAAATGAAAACTTAAAAATAAATTTAAAAAAAAAAGAAGAGAAAAAGAAGAAGGAAAGAGGTAGGAAGATGTTGACGACCCCATTAAGAAATCCATGAGACAATGATTAATCATGTTACTCTCATCTTTTGTTACAACATGCACTAGATTTGATGCTGCAAATGCATCATGACCCAAATCCAATTGGCATGCTTTTTAAGCTTCTTTTGGGTTTATTAATCCAAAGATTCATGAACTTCATTGCTTCTAGATGCAAAGGGAAATTGATCGAAATTTAACAAAGATTCTGCTTAAAGAAATCCCAATTTTATTATTTTTAAAACATAAATTATAATAAATTCGGGTTTTAATTACAGTTTTTTAAACTACATATTTTTTTTATATAATAAAATCTTAAAAAATGCAACTGTGTAACATTATCAAAAGTACTGTTTTTGTTATAAACCCTGACTAACCCAATGGTAGGGCTTTGAGACATGCCACATGCAAAAGGGTTGTGAGAAAAGAAAAAGGTTTTATGTGGCTAATTTGGCTTTATGCATTTCTTTACTCCATTTTTTCTTCATATATTAAAAGCTTAAAGTGTTTCTTTTGTCAGATTACCAATGATGATGGTCATGATGGTTGCCATCAATGTTGTTAAATAAACTAAACACAGAGGAAGGATCATGGGGTTATAAAGAATTGTTCTTTTGTTTGATACATATTCTGTCTTTAGGCAAATGATTTGAAAAGGGGGGAAGAGATCGCAGCCTAAGTGCAGATCAGATACCATTTTTTTCCCTTATGTTCAAGATTGCATATATTTATTAAGAATTGCTAATGAAATCAGGATATGAAAGATTGCAAGAATATGTCTTGTTGCAGCCGAGTATTATTCTTGACCCCCCACCCTCTTTCTTTCTATGAATTCTTTGAAAGAGTGAAGGATAAGGAATACAAATTCCTCTAATCATATGAGCACAAAGTGTTTGCCCTTCCCTCTCGAATATCGGCAGGTTTTGACTTGGGGAAAGTGACCATCAAGGATAAAGTTGCACCACTACTATTTAAATAGCGGCATACTATTATATAAATTTAAACATTCCTTGGAATTTTTTAATTCGAGAACTGATTTCATTCTTCACACACCTTTGGACTTGAATTTAATTACATTGAATACAAATATAATAAATTCTATGTTGTTTGAATTTGAATGAGTGTCGTCTACAAATATACATCGATTTTTAAATAATATAAGATATACGTCTGCCCTGCAGGTTCAATTAATTCATACATTCTTTTCTGATTGTTAGAACAAAACCTAATGAAGTATATCAATAAATGTTAATACAGGGTTTCCATATTTTTTTTTTTATTATGGATTTAAGCAGGACCCATAAGTGGAATTGAGTTTGATCATGAGGTCAGATGGTCTGCAACCTTTTGTCTTCACAGTGCAACACAGGCAGTACTTTTGCAGTACATCTCTCTTTTTTATTCCATAGATATATAATTACTTTTTTTTTTTTTGAACTTTATATTAATCTGCAATTCATGACTTTTTTTTTTCTCTTCCCCCAAGTTTGCATGAGCAATTATATACCCAATTGAAAAATTTGTCGGGCAACATGAAGGTACAATTTGTCAGCTATTGCAAATCTAGCTTCATTGATGGTTCCAAACTGCAGACTTTTTTTCTTTCTTTTTATTTTTGATTTTTTTTTATAGTTGAATCTCACAGTCATAGCTATGTATTTTCCATCCAAATCCCATTGCTTTGTTGGTAACAGAAAGTCCCCAAGGGTCCAAGACTGTTTACCTTAGATTAGAGAGTTGGATACACACTAAGCCCAAATCCAACGCTTTGGGCTCTTTTGCAATCCCACAACTTGAAACGCCAACACTAGGCTAAGTTAATATTATTTAGAGATTACAATGAGTACTTTACAAACGGAATTCTTACATTATTGACTCGATTAAATAAGATTAAGATATTTTGTAATCGAATTTAGATAGATTTTCGATAATAAGACTATTAACCTCCATAGATTCGGGTAGTGTATACCTTACTCGTCATAAGTAGTGGATACATTCATGGGATCGAATTTATAATAAAATTACTAACTGTTTCGGATTCAGGTACTGACTATAGGGTACTCACTATTCGACTTTGACTATGAAAATTGATTTGAAATTTGAATTTAATTTTTATTAGTTAATTTTAATTTATTAATAATATACATAAAAATTTATATTTTTATTTTAGGTTCAATCTTTCATGAATACTAATAAATTTCAAAATTAGCAACTATCTTACCCGTTGTCATTCCTATCATTTTTTAAGGAACAAATTTATTATAAAATCTTTTATTTTTTGGTTAAGAATAAGTATGCTAACTACTAAGTTATTACAAAAGTCATGAACCTGTTCTTAATTCTTAAACTCTCAATTCAAAAGTCACTCTATGTACTAAGAAAAATAAACGGATATATACAAGCAAGGATGATGTTCATTTGGGTTCTTGTAAGTTCATATTTTGAACTTCAATTTTTTGTTAAAAAATATTACTATAGTTAAAAATCAAATTTAATATATTATCGTGAAATGCTATTTCATATCGAATGTAAACATAACTTTTAATCTCTATATAAAAATTTAAATTAATCACTGTTAATAATTTAAATTTAAATTTTGAAAAACTTAAACCTAAATTATCTAATTTTCAAAAATTTAAATTCAAGTTGTTTTTTATTTTCTTCTCAAACAATTACTTTCGTTAATATAAAAACTTATACAGCATGAACTGAAAAGAAAAAAAAAACACCTAATACATAAAATGCATCTGGAAACATAAAATAAACTGCATTTAACTTCTTCGCTTATAAAATTATTTGTTAAGTATTAATCTAATCATCAACATATACGAAATATAGTTGATGGATTTATGTTCATATCCGGTATAAATTTTTTTATAAATAATCTCGATATTTGAAAATCGAAAATCGAGGTTCAAGATTATGGTATTAATATCTCAAAATTTCTACAAAATTCATCCAAAGTGAAGTTGGCTCCAAATCAACGTAGCTGTTTTTGCTTCCTGTCATGATGTTGTTGTTTCCATTGAAGCATTATAGATTGATTATCGTTTGTAATTAAGCATAATCAGGAGCAAATGAATCAACTTACACTTTAGAGGGAGCAGGGGCACCGCTACCAAGCGGCCGAGAGCAACAGTTGCTGAAGAATCGCACTGCAATCAATGCGCCAAACCCATCATAAAACAACAAAGATACAGGAGAGACATGTTTTCATGCAGACAACTTTACGCCATCTATCCAACAGGTGTTCCACCGAATTCCACGCGTCATCTCCCTTTGTTTCTTTATATTCACAGCTCCAATGCTCTCACCCACTCAACCCTTTCACTCTCTGTCTAGTTCCCATAGTCTTTTCAGTGCACGCTTAGATAAAAAAGAGGAAAAAAAGCAACCTCAGTAGCCATGGCTGAGTATCAGCAGCAACAACCCCAGACTGATAACTACAACAATTACTTTCAGGGCAACCATCCTTCGACCTCGAAAGTTCTCGCAGTTGTCACCCTCCTTCCTGTCGCTGGCACCCTTCTGGGGCTTGCTGGTTTGAGCCTCGTTGGAACCCTCATAGGGCTTGCCTTCGCCACGCCGCTTTTCCTGCTGTTTAGCCCCGTTTTGGTCCCCGCTGCTCTCGTCATTACCGGTTCCGTAGCCTCGTTCTTGACATCTGGAGCCTTTGGGATCGCCGGGCTTTCATCGCTCTCGTGGATTGCCAACTATCTTCGTGGAACGCGGGGCTCTATGTCGCAGCGGCTAGACCAAGCAAAAAGGCGGGCGTAGGAAACGGGGGGATATATACGCCAGAGGGCGAAGGATGTGGGTCAGAAGAACCAGAATAGGAGCCAAGAAGGAGGAAGGACGACCCAGGAGAGTGCCACAGATTAGAAGAGTGGCACGACCCAAGAAGGCGTAAAGAAGTAGGGAGGCCCATTGGGTTTTGTTTCTTGAGTTCAGGTTTGATCATGTATCAGTTGGGTCATGCTTAAAGCTATATATAATGGGTAGAAAAAGCCAGGGAAAAAATAATTTAAGAACTGTGCCTTTCTTCATGTTTTGTTGATGTCCTGTAATCATCACTCTGTTTTTAAATAAACTCTTTTTTAGTCTTTCCTTTGCCATTTACTCTGTTTTCAATTACTCACTTGCAAGAATCAATATAAGGTTGGTGAAGGATCAGAGGGGTACACAAATTGCTTTGCCAAGTAAGCTCCAATTGCATGAAGACAAAGCAAATGAATGCAGGAGGAAAAACAAAGCAGAATTAATGAAAAGCCTCTCTATTTAATACTCATTATATGATATTTTGAGTGAAATTGACCTCTCATTTGGTAGTGCAATGTCCTCATCCTGATTAAGAAACACATAAATACCGAATATTCATTAATCCTGACATTCGGATGCTGCTAGCATTTGACCTTTACCCTTCCGCCAGATAGCAAGTGGCCTTGGTTGAAGTCAAAAATAGTGAAGCAATGGAAATAAAGTAAGAAAGTTTGACCAGGATCATAGGCTGGGTCCGATATTGCTGCCGTACGCAGAGAGACTGCAGCTCAAAAGTTAGTACTAGTTCAGCTTTAAACAAGGTAAAATGATAATGATTTAAATGATTCATTTAGTTACATAAATTACACTACGAAGTGGTGATTTAATAAGATCTCTCCAAATATTACTGTTCGAATAAAATTCATGGTACCATAACAGACAATCCTTATAGTTGTTTGTTTTTATGGTTCTTTTCATGATTCATTTCATGTTTCATATAGATAAGAAGTAATAGTTCTTATGTTTCATGTACGTAATAAGTAATAGTTAGTTCTTAATTGTTCTTTTACGAGTTTTTTTCATGATTCATGATATGTGATAAGTTTATTTTTTGTGATTCATAATATGTGATAAGTTTGTATTTATTACACGTATAAGAGATTATTGAAATAGTAATATCTGTGTTTATTAAATACGAAGGAGACTGTTATATACTGAGGAGACTATTGAAATAGTAATAAAAAGACATCTTCTGCCTGTTAAATAATCCTTAAAACTTCAGCACTGTGTGATGGACGTCTCTGGATAAAAAACAGACTAGCAAACAGAGATTGCGCCAAGGGCCAGAACTGCTAATACTAATCATCTTACCTCTCGTGATATTCCATTTTGCATCAAGGAAATGTCTCCCTCAAACCTCCATTACTTCCTCTCTGTCACGACCATCATCTTTGCTGGTTTTCTCTTTGATTTCTCCATCGAGTCAACTCTCATGTACCCTTTAGGTTGTTCTAGTAAAATTCCGTCGTGCAATTCCTATCTCTATCACATATCTAATGGGCTTTCAATAGAGGAAATGGCCAATTTCTATTCAGTGAATGCATCCCAAATCCAATCCATAACCCATGACGCCAAACTAGACTACCTCGTATCTGTTCCTTGCACTTGCAAGGATGTGAATGGCACCCTAGGATACTTCTATGATACCCTTTATACAGTGAAACCAGGAGACACATATGCAGGTGTCTCAGGTGAGTTTTACAGTGGGCAAGCTTGGATGATTGCAGCGGAGGAGCAGCTGTTTGTGGCTGGAGATATGATCACTATACACCTTGTATGTGGGTGTCTAGAAGTAGAAAATCAAGAGGCCGTGACATATACAGTGCAAGACCGTGATACCTTGTCACAGATTGCAGAACTTCTGTCAGCAAATCTTAGTGAAATTGAGAAACTAAATGGAAATTTGACTCAAAATCCAAATTTTATAGATATTGGATGGGTTTTGTTTGTACCAATCGGGAAGAGAAAAATTCAAGCACCCAAAGCAGGTAAAGCTGTCCATCATACTAAAAGCTGAATAGTTCTTAGTGGCATTGTCTTAAAATAACATTTAGCCATTTTTTATTCCTGTAAGCTGTATTTTTTTTGTTTTTTCTAATTTCCAAATCTGCTGCTTTAAGTTCTGCAAGAAAGACTCAGGTGATTGGAACTACATATTAAATCTACTAGCTTGGTTCGTCTGTTTACCATAATGGTAGAGTCAACAAATCATTCACACAAAAATTTCAACCTTGCCCTGACGGATATACGTAGGCAAATTCTCTTCTGAAGTGCAAGCAATCTGACATTGTTTTCTCATTCAAGCCAGGAAAAAGGCACAATTTACCAATTATCATTGGCACAAGTTTGGTTGTGACATTACTTTCAATGAGCATGCTGGTTCTATTCCTTATCAGAAGAAACAGAAACCATAGAAAAAACAGAGATCTAGAAGCTGTCAACAAAAGTCCTAGTGCTAAAAAGAGTTCTTCGCAAAACCAACTTCTTCAGGACAAATATATGGAAGGTGAGATACCTTTCAAACATGCCTGCAGAAAAATTCTTACGGCGAGTTCTAGGAATGCTTTAAATTTCCAATAAAGGTCTAGCTGATTGACAAAAACATTTAGGAAAAATTAAGAGACTTGAACAATCTGAGTCTGATAAAGCAAAGATTGCTTGGTGCAGGTGTAGCATCCATTGAGTCTGAAAGACATGTTACTTATAGTCTAGAGGAGATCAATGAGGCTACAAATAACTTTGATGAAAGCAGGAAAATTGGACAAGGTGGATATGGCACTGTATACATTGGTGTACTAAAAGAACAGGTATGATAAATCTAGGTATAACTTCCAAATTGAATTTTTATAATCATGTTTGTAATGTACTCAAGCTAAGCTTATATATATGATTCTAGCAGAAGTCTGAATATGAAATCTGAATCACAGGAAGTTGCAATTAAGAAAATGAAATTTAGCCAGTCAAAGGAATTTTTTGCAGAGCTCAAAGTGTTATGCAAGATACATCACATTAATGTGGTATAAATTCTCCCAACCAAGGATATTAAGATATATGCATGACATTTTGTTCACCCCCACCCCTTTCCTAAGAGAAAAAAGGGTAGTTTTGGTGAATAAATCTTTTTCCTTCAGCTGGAGCTGCTGGGATATGCAAGAGGGGACAATCATCTCTATCTGATATATGAGTATATGCAAAATGGATCACTTAATGATCACCTTCATGATCCAGTCCTGAAAGGTATTTGTTTATGTGAAGAATGCTGGTATGACAATAGGAATATTTAGAAAATTTTCTGACACCAGCACGTATCAGGTCACTCGCCACTTTCTTGGACTGCAAGAGCAAATGTAGCAGTTGATGCTGCAAGGGGGATTGAATACATTCATGATCATACAAAGGCACGCTACGTGCATCGCGATATAAAAACAAGCAACATTCTGCTTGATCAGAGACTCGGAGCAAAGGTACTCTCAGGGCCTTCAATTGTGTCATACATATTATTATCTGATATTATTGCAACTCTAAAAGGACTTCGTACAGGTTGCAGATTTTGGTCTCGCAAGGCTAGTAGAGAGGTCAAACAAAGAAGATGTTGTAGCAACATGCTTGGTTGGAACACCAGGTTACATAGCTCCTGAGTAAGTTTTATGTTCTTAAACAATGGAAAAAGTGCATCAGTAGAAATCTTTTTCGTGGGGACAGAACTCTCAGTGATTGACTGCATTTTAGTTTTCCATGGTATTTTGGTTTGTAACCTTAATTTAGTCTTACCATCTCATTGCTTTCCTCCAAGATGTGCACGCGAGCTACAAATGACATCCAAAACTGATGTTTTTGCATTTGGAGTTGTCCTGGCGGAGCTTGTAACAGGTCAGCGGGCACTGATTCGTGACAATCAGGAACCAAACGAGATGAAATCGTTAGTCTCAGTTGTAAGTAGCCAATTGATGATGATTTTGACGTATTGTTGCCAGATGAGCACTTGATAACGAATTCCTGTATTGAATCTCCTAACCGCCTGTAATATTACCAGGTTCTCATAATAGAAAGAACGCAAGTAACTGGAATTTTTCTCTAAAATATTGATGATAAGATCTCATGTTTCCATCAATCGGCTTGCTAACTTCTTCCTCTAATTATGTTATTTTTGATTCTATGGCCAACAAATCAATCAGATATACACAATATTCCAAGTTACAGACAAGCAGGGTGCTTTGGAAGCTAACATAGATGGTAACCTCAGAGGCAGCTGTCCCATGGAAGAAGTGTACAAGGTTAATACACCCTGCATGTTTATGATCTACTATCGATTATAGGAAGACAAAATATCCATCCTTTTAACCAAGAATAAACTCCATTTACACCCCGTGAATAGCTTCTGTTCTCAGCTCTGTTAATTAGTGCATACTGATATCCAAATATTTATGGTACTGATTTCTAGTTTTCCCATAAATTTGCTGCAGATGGCAGAATTATCCAGACAGTGCTTAAGCGAAGATCCAATGAATCGACCAGAAATGAGAGAAGTAGTCCAGAAACTTTCCCAAATCTTGACATCCTCCATAGAATGGGAAGCATCACTAAGGGGAAACAGCCGTGTCTTCAGCCGGATGCTTAAAGGAAGATGAATTGTTTCTTCCAGGAAATTGTTAGATATTCCATTTACACCTTGCTTGTACAGAAAGTTACTTCCTGTTAGGCTTTCTGATTCCGCCATCCGTGCCTTTCGTAGCATATACTTTTTGCTAACAAAACAGGCTTGAAAGTGAATCGGCAATTATAAATTATGCTTTTGTAGCGTGAGCGTTGGCACCGCGAAGTCTAATAAAGATAATCCAATAATTAATCCAATAAAGATACTTGAAAAATACAATAATTAGATAAATGCTCAAATCCATGAAGTAGGACAAAAAAATTAGACTCTTTAGTTTGTACTTTTGCTTCTGGAAGAACCCAAGAATATCAAGAATTCAAAATCACCCGACCGAAACCCGACCCGTCCTTTTACCGCCTCCAAACTGGATATACTACTCTAAAGCGACTAATGGGCTACCGTAAGCCCATATTCCGTGTTAGTGGGCTTCAACATGGGCCAACAACGTCCAACCCAAGCTGGAAAGGACAGGACATTTCTCTCCCACTGGAACGACATTCCACGCGGTCGACTTGAAAGCAACATTCATTTCCTTTGAACGGCGAAGGGATCCAATCCAGAATTCCTAGTATTTCACTTTCGTCTTTAATTAATCAACAAATTGATTCACATCTTCAGCCTCTCTCGGCTCACCTGATCCACCTGCGAATGGCTGGCGCCGCCTCGGCGCTCTTCCTTCTCGACATCAAAGGCCGCGTCTTGATTTGGCGCGATTACCGTGGCGACGTCTCCGCCGCCGAAGCCGAGCGTTTCTTCACCAAGCTCATCGAAAAGCAGGTACTAGTTTTAAAAAGAATATCTATCGTATTTAATTCTAAAATTCAATTTCGTAGCTCAGATCGATTGATGATGATCTGTAGCTCAATTCTTGTTTAAGTTTTGTCGTCAAATTCAAAAGATTTTGTGAGATTAAATGATTTTCTGTTTTTTTTTTTGTTTACTTGATCTTCGTCAGGGTGGTGATCCACAGTCTCAGGATCCCGTGGTCTATGACAATGGCGTAACCTATATGTTCATTCAACATAGCAATGTTTACTTGTTGACTGCTTCCAGGCAGAACTGTAATGCCGCCAGCCTTCTTCTATTTTTGCACCGTATTGTTGATGTATGAACTCGAAATTCTTTTAATCTTTAAAAATAGTGTTAATTTCGTGATAAAATGTTGTTCTGATGGTTGAATTTAGTTTAATTGTTTGTTGCATACTATATGTTTCTGTATGCAGGTTTTTAAGCACTATTTCGAAGAGCTAGAAGAAGAATCTTTGAGGGATAATTTTGTGGTGGTGGTAAGATGCTAGATAGGGATTTTTGTTGAGGAAAAGAATAATGGCTTTGACTAAATGCTTCCTGTCTGTGCTGAGATGTTCTTTTTCTTCTTTTGGGTAGTATGAGTTGCTCGATGAAATGATGGACTTTGGTTTCCCTCAGTACACAGAAGCTAAGATTCTTAGTGAATTTATCAAGACTGATGCTTATAGGATGGAAGTTACGCAGCGTCCTCCCATGGCGGTGACAAATGCGGTCTCTTGGCGGAGTGAAGGGATACGGTATAAGAAAAATGAAGTAGGTTGTCCTTTTTTGTATTTTTTTTTATTATTAATAGATATGCTAGCTAGTCTACTGTGTTTTACAAAGATAATTTCTGTGTTTAATTAGGTGTTCTTGGATGTGGTGGAAAGTGTCAATATACTTGTCAACAGCAATGGGCAAATAATACGATCAGATGTTGTTGGGGCATTGAAAATGAGAACATATTTGAGGTGTGTGACTTATCTTCTTCCATGTTACTCAGCTAAAGGTTTTATGGATATGCACACTGTGGTATGGTCAATTGAGTTTGGATTGCCCCTGCATGTCTTGTTGACTAAATGGCAAATCCAAATCTGTCGATTTAGTTTTTTGTGAGTCCTAACGAGCTATACTTTTTTCCACTGTAAATAATGCCCGCATCCAGTTTCTAGAAAGAGACTCTGCTTGCTTGGAAATTCTTTTTTCCCAGTGGACATTGAAGAAATAGTGGGACAAAAGAATTGATTTTAAAAGAAATTTGAGTTCTTTAATACCTTAATATAAGTCTGTGAAGGTTAGGGCATAGAGCAAAACTAAAGGGGGAAACTCTTTTTTTTTTATTATTATTTTTATTTTAACAGTTTCTAAAGAAATATTTCTCTCCACTTATCTTATGTCTGAAGCTGAACTTCCTAGAATGTGGTGTTCCCTTATATTTTAAGAAGCTATTGTATCTGTTTTTAAAATACTTCACCTCTTAGCAGAAAGGTCCAACTAATCATACTTTTTGTTGCAGTGGTATGCCTGAATGTAAGCTGGGCCTAAATGATAGAGTGCTATTGGAGGCTCAAGGTCGGGCAACAAAAGGGAAAGCCATTGATCTGGATGATATCAAATTTCATCAGTATGTGCTCTTTGTGTTGCTAGTTTCTTTTTCTTATTTTTTTGAAAGGGGGCTATGGGGGTGGGCTTGGGTAGGTGGGTTTACTTGAGTTTTCTGCTTCTTTTAAATGGAAATATGCTTATTTTGTGGCTTAGAAGGATGATTCCATATATTTATGATAGGTGTGTACGTTTGGCTCGTTTTGAGAATGATCGGACAATATCTTTTATACCCCCTGATGGACCTTTTGATCTGATGACGTACAGGTTAAGTACTCAGGTGCATCTCATGTCTCATTCACTGTGCTTGTTTATCCCCTTTGATGGTTCACATTAGTTGAACTGCAATTTTGATATCCATTTTGTTGCACTTTTTCTCAAGTTTAAAACACCTAAGATCAACTTTTATGAGGTTTCAGGTGAAACCTCTCATTTGGGTGGAAGCTCAAGTTGAAAAACATTCTAGAAGTCGGTTTGAGATCATGGTAAAAGCTCGCAGTCAATTCAAGGAGCGCAGGTAATTCACTTGTGTTGGAATCTGGATAACAATGATTACTCCCATTTCTATCCTTCTAGATTTTATGAAAATTCCTTTAAAATGAGGTGACATCCTCATCTTTTACTTGTGCCAGTACATTATAATAAGTGGTTTTAGATGTTGTAGAAAACAATTTGAAAGTGCGTTATGTTTTTAGTGGACATGGAGTGATTCCTTAGATTAGGTGTTGTAGAAACCAAGGCTACTTGATTTGTTTAGAAACCAAGACCATTGTCAAATATACTGAATTTAATTGTTGGTCACTCTCTTTGTTTAGTACGGCAACAAACGTTGAAATTGAGTTGCCTGTGCCAGCTGATGCTACAAATCTTAATATTCGGACGTCAATGGGATCTGCCAGATATGCCCCTGAGAATGATGCTTTGGTGTGGAAAATCAAATCTTTTCCTGGTAACAAGGTAAGACTTGGCCCAAATTTGCATGTGTAGTTAATTCCAGGGTGCAAGATTTTGTATCTTAATTATATGCTTCTGAAGTGGCTCCAACTACATTTTGGACCATGTTGTTGAATGAACTATGTAGGAGTATATGCTGAGGGCAGAATTTTGTCTTCCTAGTATAACTGCCGAAGAAGCTGCTCCAGAGAGAAAGGCACCTGTCCGCGTAAAGTTTGAGATACCATATTTTACAGTCTCAGGGATTCAGGTATAGTTTGATGTCACTGTGCCCTCTAGGATTCTGTAGTGTTTTTTATTAACCTTGTTGCTCTGATACTAGCTGTGAAGCTAAAATAGGGGTAATATTCTGATTGATCTATGTGCACATTGATTTGCCTGCCTCTGCATGGGTTTCATTTCTCTTTTAGTTAAGGATCAAATTTCTTAGTTAAAATCAAAGGAAGGACAAATTAATGCATACCAACAAAAGTTGAAGGGAGCTACTTGGGTTCCTCATCTTTTTTGAGCCAGCACTACTCGGAATAAATATAACAATGAGAAACGGCAAAGGATAACAGTCAGGGCTGTTGCTCCAATTCACTTTGCTAAGGAATCCGGATTTTTGCTTGGAGGGATGAAGAAGATGAAAAGTCTCAGTAGTTTATTCTGTTATAAAGAATTATTATGGCAACATACTCCATGGATTAAGATTTCGACTTTTGTTTGCAAATGACGGATTGAGGGGTTATAACTAATTTAGATTGTGATTTTATTCTTTAAAAAAGGGATCAAATTTCTTACTAAGAAAAGTTTTCCTGATACTTAAAAGGAAAATGAGAAGCATATCTAATCATGTGGCCTCTTACATTGTTTCTTTCAGGTTCGCTACCTGAAAATCATTGAAAAAAGCGGATACCAGGCTCTTCCATGGGTGAGATACATTACAATGGCAGGTGAATATGAATTACGACTGATGTAAAGATCCATGAAATGTATTATTTCTTTTCCTAGTTACGTAAATAGAGCATATGGCTAGCCAAGGTTGTTCCTTTGGGAAGTTTCTTCCCATAATTTTGATATCTTCAGAAAAGGTGTCCGCTCTTCTGTGTTTTCCCAAGAATTTTGCTATAATTATCGATTGGATGTGGTCATTTATATGTAAGGGCACAAAAATAGTCTGCTTGAGTTTGTTTCATTGATGTTTCTTTTGGTGGGGGGGTGGGTGGTGAATTAATAACCATTGCTTGTTCTTTTAATCAATTGGGAGGAAGAGATTCGAACTTTACTCTTTAAGTAGAGAATTATGCATTAACCAATAAATCAAATAATCGGATGTTTCACATTTTTGTTTGTTTGATCAAATCTTTTTACATTAGATCATAAATAACTAAAAGATCAGAGTCTTATATTTTGTTTTCTCTCTTGCACATTCTTTGTTCAAATATAACTAGTAATAAGAAAAATTGTAAAATTGATTTATAGAGGTTTGATCATTTTGTTCTGTGTTTGCGAGTTAAATTCACTAATGATAAAAATCAATACAAATTGCCTTTTTAAAGTTAAGATGTAGCTTTTTTAACTTTTTAAAGTTTAAGTTACAACATCTATACTTTTTCAAGGTTACATCATTAACCTATTAGGGTAGATCTTTTATCTCTTTTACAAGGTTGAAAGCAAGAATACCTCTAGAAGGTGGATATTGCTTGGCAGATAAGTTTGGAAGAGATGATAGTAATAAGAAGAATACAAAAGATAAAAAATGGAAGTTCTAATAGAAATGATAGCTCTAGAAGAGTTGAATGCTTAGCGGGAGGATGTGTAAGCTTGCTCCTAGCCTGGTTTCTCTTTCTTTCTCTTCTTTTTCTTCCTAAATCTTTTCTTCTCTCTTGTACTTAGTAAATGTGTTGAGGAAGTATGTTGGAGCCATTGGAGTTCATTTAAGACCGAATATAGCCGTTGCTTGGTTGCATAATGTGCCTTACGGCTATATGGGATCGATCCTGAACTACAAAATTCAAAATTTTGTGAGTGAGGGATCGATACCTTCAAAGGGGTGGCTAGGTATCCAATAGCTTTTATGTGAACTGAATCGATCCCTAGAACCCTAAAGATCAATCCTTGTAGCTTTGTTCATGAAAAACACTTCGACGCTTTAAAGACGAATACATGGGAGTTTTTAACAAGAAGGATTTAAGCTCAAAACTCATTCAAGCAATTTTGATTATGGTTTTTGTCGTTTCAAAATTATAATCACTTTAAAACTAACATAAGCATCACATGAGTTGTGTTTTCTCAAACAAAAGCAAAAATCTTGTTAAATTGTTTCATAAGGAGCCAACATATTTAAATTCAACATTCAATATTAAGATATTTCAATAACATTTAAACTTCAAATGATGATGTTTTGTCCAACTTGGAAAAAATTTAATTATTGTAATTTAATTGATTAACGCTTTGTAAATCACGTGAAGATGTTTACTCATGTAAAATTGTTTTATTAAAAGATGAAACATCTAAATAGATATAAAATTCATTACACCTATTAATTTTGCTAACTCATAAACATCATATCATACACCTTTTTTGTAAAAAAAAAAAAATTCTTGTGGAAATTGTTGCTTTAAGAGTGACAATATTTAAATTTGACATTAAGTGTTAAGCTACTTAATTCAATAACATTTAAACTTTGTGTGATAATATTTTCTAATTTTAAAAAAGAATATAAAGCCATATTCAATTGATTAATGCTTTGTAAATTATATAAAAATCAAGTCATGTGAAACCGCTTTATTAAAACTAAAACTTCTAAATAGATATAAAACATTATTACTTCTATTACTTAGTCAACTCGCACGCATCATGTGATATTAAATGTTAAGATAGTTCAAAAACACTTAAACTTCATTTGATGATGTATTGTCTAATTTTGAAAAAGAATTTAATGATTATAATTTCATATTGAGTAAATATCTTGACGTAATTTACACAGTGTTAATCAATTGAATTATAATTTCGTTAAAAGATGAAATGTATAAATAATATAAAAAATTATTGCATCTATTAATTATGCCAACTCACAAATATCACATGATACACGTTTTCCCAAAAAAAATCTTTCCAAGGAAATTATTTCACTAAGAGTCAAAATATTTAAATTTGACATTTAATGTTAAGATACTTGTTCTGGTAACACTTCCAATTTTGAAAAAGAATTAAATGATTATATTTCAATTGGTTAATGCTTGATAAATCACGAAGTTATTTACTTAACATAAAACTATTTTGTTAAAAAATGAAATGTTTAAATAAATATAAAATATTATTACACTTTTAATTTTACCAACTCATATGTATTTTCTCAACAGGAAAAAAAAATATCTTCTTGAGGAAATTCTTTCACTAATAGTCAAAATATTTAAATTTGACATTAAATCTTAGGAAACTTGTTCCTGTAACACTGTCAATTTTGAAAAAGAATTTAATGAATTTTTTTGAAAAGAAAAGAATTTAATGATTATAATTCTATTGGTTAACACTTTGTAAATCATGTGAAAATATTTACTAAACATGAAACAGTTTCGTTAAAAGGTAAACGGTTTAAATAAATATAAAATTACATCTATTGATTTTATTAACTCATATGCATTTTCTCGTCAAGAAAAAATGTGTCTTCCTAAAGAAATTGTTTCACCAAAAGCTAAAATATTTAAATTTGACATTAAATGTTAGGATACTTATTTTGGTAACGTTGTCAATTTTTTTTTAAAAAAATTAATAATTATAATTAAATTAATTAATGTTTTGTAAATCACGTGAAGATATTTATTCAAATGAAACCGTTTTGTTAATAAGTGAAATGTCTAAATAAAAATAAAATATTATTGCATCTATTAATTTTGCCAACTCATACACGTTTTCTCAACAGAAAAAAAATACCTTTACGAGGAAATTGTTTCACTAAAAGTTAAAATATTTAAATGTGATATTAAATGTTAGAATACTTTTTCGGTAACACTGTCAATTTTTTTAAAAAAATTAATAATTATAATTTAATTGGTTAACCCTTGTTTGATCATGTGAAGATATCTACTTTTTTATATATTTTAAAATGTTTAAACCTCGATAACATCGCCGAAACTTCTCTATAAATTTAACACTCTCCCTCCTATCAATTCACAAGTTACTTACTCTTTGCTCGAAGTCTTTCATTGATCATGGAAGACGATCCGGAGCCTGACATAGCATTACATTTCTTTCAAAATGTTCAATGTTGCTTAAAAATGGATGGTACAGGGAAAACGAAGGCCGAACAAGAGCTCCAATCTTGCTACAGCATCACTGGGGCTGTTCTTAGTTCTAGCCATTGAAGGTGGTTTTCTAACTCATTTAATTTTCTATATATGTTTTTAACACATATATTCTGCTTCCAATCTGAATTTTTTTCCCATATTTTTTTGCAGTTAATTGAGCCAATGTCGAAAAAGACATTGGAACCGAAAGACTCCATATTATATGCTTCTTTAAATGGCAAAGAGCAATAGAACGAGGCTGTGTTGCTCAGAGGATTGGAGCAATTCAGGTTGTGGGGTGTAGACAAGTCTGTATGTTGGCAGCTCCAGTTGGTACAACACGGTTTGTAGACAAGTCCATCAAGATTGTTTGGATGGGTCCAAGCTCAATGTAAGTACCAATTTCTTCTTGAATTTTCTGCTTTACATTTTGGCTTGGACCAATTGCATAAGTTAATTTCTTGGTGATTGTTGCAGTGCTTCATCAAAAGAGCAATAGGAAAAGCTATTCAGCTACGACTGGGCAACAACAAACCATGCATGATCTGGCCAAAGGATTTCAGCATGGATTTCTTTAGCCTGAGCTAATCTTGGAAGGCGAGTTATCAGGTCTTTTAAGGAAATGGGTTGACAACGCTTCCAGCGAGAATTGATAATGGTTGAGCTTGGAGATTCATCCTGCAACTTCGATGGATTTGTCAGGGACTGCGTAGTTGACTGAAGTGAGAGATACTGATACATGATCGCGTAGCCTCTTGGCCTCTTGATCCTTTGCTACTTCATCATATTAGAAGCGTTAGCCATAGAATCTTGTAAAATAGGTAAGACATTCAGATTTATCAATTCCATCTCAAGAATCAATGAAGTAAAATCCAATTAACCCATTTTTCTTACCTTCTTGCAGGCTTCCCAGTGAGTGGATGATTGGGTCATGCTCTTACATGATTCTCAAAGCTTGATTGAAATTTCCGCCATGATTCAACATGCCTATCCAGCCATTCTCAAAAGGCTGGAAGCTTATCTACCCTAAGATTTCTAGGGATTATTTCTTCTTAGCTTTTTACAACCATGCAACCAAGTTAAAAGGTTGGTCTCACTCTATAGTGTACATACATATTGAAATACAATTCCAATCAATTGAAAAGGAAGGCATCAGAAAATTAGAATGCACAAGTCTTCTTCATCAGAGGTGGGAAGAAAAAATGTCGGACAATATTACATTGCCAATGAAATTTTTCCTAAAAAAATTTCTTCATCAAAATAAAAGTACAGTGATTTCATTAAATGCAATAAAAAAAAATTTATTTGAATATTTGTGAGTAATTTAAAGTTTTTTTAAATATAATGCCTATTAAATACTATTACACATTAATTTTATCAACTCACAACTATCACACGATATGCATTCTCTCTCAAAAAAAAAAAAAACTTTTCTTTAAAAAATTATTTCTCAAATTCAAAATATTTAAATTTGACATTTAATGTTAAGATACTTGTTCTCGTAACATTTTCAATTTTGAAAAAGAATTTAATGGTTATAATTGAATTAGTTAGCCCTTTATAAATTACGTGAAGACATTTACGTAATATGAAATCATTTTACTAATATATGAAATATCTAAAAAGATATAAAATATTATTATCCTCATTAAGTTTGCCAACTAACAAGCATCTCAGGATACGCATTTTTTGAAAAGAAATAACATCTTTTCGAAGAAATTGTTTCACAAAGAGCCAAAATATTTAAATTTGACATTAAATGTTAAGATTCTTAATTCAATAAAATTTATACTTCATTCGATAATAGTTTTCTAATTTTGAAAAAGAATTTGCAGATTATAATTTAATTGGTTCATGCTTTGTAAATTATGTGAAAACGTTTACTCACCCGAAACTGTTTTATTTAAAAATAGAACATCTAAATGGGTATGAAATATTATTACATATATTACTTTGCCAACACACAAGCATCACATAATATGTGTTTCCTAAAATAATATTATCCTATGAAAATTCTTTCATTTAGAGTCAATATTTAAATTTGACATTAAATCTTAGAATACTTCAATAACAGTTAAAACTTCAAATGACAATGATTTGTCTATTTTGATAAAGAATTTAATGATATAATTCAATTAGTTAACGATTTGTAAATTACGTAAAGATATTTATTCAATATGAAAATATTTTATTAAAAGATGAAATGTCTAAATAGATATAAAATATTATTACACTTATTAATTTTATCAACTCAAAAGCATTAGATGATATGTGTTTTCTCAAAAAAATAGAAAACCATTTTGAGGAAAATGTTTCATTAAGAGTCATAATATTTAAATTTGACATTTAATGTTAGGCTACTTGCTCCAGCAACACTTCCAATTTCGAAAAAAAATTTAATGATTATAATTCAATATGTTAACTCTTTGTAAACAATGTGAAGATATTTAATTAACATTAAATCATTTCGTTAAAGGATGAAATGCTTAAATAGATATAAAATATTATTACACCTATTAATTTTAACTACTAATACGCATTTTCTCAACTAAAAAAAAAATTTCTTGAGGAAATTATTTTATTAAGAGCTAAAATATTTAAATGTGACATTAAATGTTACGATGCTTGTTTCAGTAACACTGCAAATTTGAAAAAGAATTTAATCATTAGAATGCAATTGGCTAACATTTTATACATCATGTGAAGATATTTACTCAACATGAAACTATTTCGTTAAAAGATTAAATGTCTAAATAGATATAAAATACTATTGCATCTATTAATTTTGCCCATTCATACGCATTTTCCCAATAAAAAAAAACATCTTCCTGAGAAAATTGTTTCATTAAGAATTAAAATATTTAAATGCGTCATTGAATATTAAGATACATGTTTCGATAACATTGCCAATTTCAAAAAAAAAATTAATACTTATAATTCAATTGGTTAATGCTTTGTAAATCACGTGAAGATATTTACTTAATATGAAATCGTTTTGTTAAAAGATGAAACATATAAATAGATATAAAATATTATTATACCTATTAATTTTGCCAACTCATACGTGCTTGCTCAACAGAAAAAATATATATTTTTGAGGAAATTATTTTACTAAGAATTAAAATATTTAAATGTTACATTAAATATTAAGATACCTGTTCCGATAACATTACCAATTTCGAAAAAGAATTTAATGATTATAATTCAATTGGTTAATACTTTGTAAACCACGTGAAAATATTTACTCAACATGAACCGTTTCATTAAAAGATGAAACGTCTGCATAGATATAAAATATTATTACACTTATTAATTTTGCCAACTCATACATGTTTTCTTAATAGAAAAAAACATCTTATTGAGGAAATTGTTTTATTAAAAATTAAAATATTTAAATGTGACATTAAATATTAAGATACTTGTTTCGGTAACATTGTCAATTTTGAAAAAGAATTTAATAATTATAATTCAATTGGCTAATGCTTTGTAAACACGTGAAGATATTTACTCAACATGAAACTGTTTCGTTAAAAGATAAAACTTTTAAATAGATATGAAATATTATTACACCTATTAATTTTGCCAACAGATATGCGTTTTCTCAACAACAAAAAACATCTTCCAAAAGAAATTGCTTCACTAAGAATTAAAATATTTAAATGTGATATTAAATATTAAGATACTTATTCCGGTAACATTGCCAATTTCGAAAAAGAATTTAATGATTATAATTCAATTGGTTAATGTTTTGTAAATCACGTGAAGATATTTACTCAACATGAAACCGTTTCGTTAAAAAGATAAAACGTGTAAATAGATATAAAACATTATTACACTTATTAATTTTGCCAACTCATACGCGTTTTCTCAACAGAAAAAAACATCTTTCTGAGGAAATTGTTTCACTAAGAATTAAAATGTTTAAATGTGACATTAAATATTAAGATACCTGTTCCGGTAACATTGCCAATTTTGAAAAAAAAAAATTGATGATGATAATTCAATTGGTTAACCCCTTATGTAATCATGTGAAGATGTATATTCTTTTTTATATTTTTAAATATTTAAAACCTCAATAACATCATCCAAATTTTTCTATAAATTCAACCCCACCCCTCCTATCAATTCACAAGCTTGTCTTTGCTTGAAGTCTTTCATTGATCATGGAAGACGATCCGGAGCCTGACATAGCAT